ACCCCTTGTGCCACCAGGAAGACCCCTATTCTGTTAACTCTAAAGGGCTTGAAATTTCCATAATAAAAAAAGCTGAAAACAAAAAATACACACAAATCAAATATATATAATTTACGCTGTCCAAATTGCTATAAAATTTTCTCATCACCTACTCTCAATTTCAATATGTAATTGTCACCATTCAGTTACGAACTACACATGCCTGGCACCAGTTCCTGGATCGCACTTTCAGCAATACTGCCCTAAACTCTCTTTGCCTTATTGTTTCTGTCACTAAATAATAGCAGCAATAGTAGTAGTAACACCATTTTTCTCTTAAGAGGTTTTATGAGGGTTAAGTAAAATATATGTAGAGTGCTTTGATGGTGTGTGGCATAGAAGTGTTCCATAAATACTAGCTGTTATTCTCATTAATACAATCTGCTACAGTTTGTTTTCAATTCCCGGAATTACCGAGTTGCCAGTAATTTTAAGCCTTTTTCTGAATTATTTACTGAGTTTATTACTCATAAAGATCTTTCTGCTTATATCTTTAAGTCAAAATATTTTTAAAAGAATAACCCACTTTGGGCCTCCCTGGTGGCGCAGCGGTTGAGCGCTGGGTTGCGAAGCTGCCCGCAGCCTCTGCAGGGCAGGTTTGATCCCCAGCTGCTCCCCGGCCACTGGAGGAGGGTCCCACGTGGCGCGCAGACCTCTCCTGCCGCCCGCTGCTCCCCTCAGCAGTGTACTTCGGTCCTTCTGCCTGCTCTGCTCCCCACTCTGGCTCTGGTGAATTTTCACCCTCCCGCGCTTCTGACTGTACCCAGTGCTTGTATAAATAAATAAATAAATAAATCTTTAAAAAAAAAAAAAAAAAGAATAACCCACTTTACTGAGGAAGAAACTGAAGTTCAGAAATTAAATGCTATAGACATTTCTCAGGATGGCTGCCTTGGCACAACCATTCCATGATATGAAGTTTTGGTTCCATAGGCCTTTCTTGCCAGACCTTTCTTGGTGACTATGATATTTACTTTCCTGGGGCCAACATCCAATCATAGCTGAGTCCATCAGATTCTTTCTGTCTGCAGGGACCTTATTCCAGCATTCTGAGAGGGTTCTCAAACCCTGCTGTCTGGTTCCTGCCTTTTCAGAGGCTGGTGAGTTCAGCCTCACCCATAACTATGCAACAGTTTCCCCAGCATCCTTCTAATAAACTAACCTTTTATTTTTAAGCTGACCAGAGTGAGTTTCCATAACTTAGATCACTGAGGGGTCTGAGCAGAGTTCTAGAACATACATCTCTTTGTGTTAAGTTCCCTCAAACAGCATCTACTGAGAGTGTACTCTTACAACAAAAGTGGGCTGTGAGGACCAGCAAGGTTTTGACAGTGAAGAGGGTGGGGGCCAGGTGTGGGGGGAGAAAATGACAATGGAGAGAGAAATTCAGAAAAACACAAGGTAGATGTAGGTAAATGAAAGCAATACAATTTTATGGCAGAATAGACATATAAAGGCACACAGTTAATCTTCAATAAATGTTTGCAGAATTAATATTCAATTAGGTACATAATTGGACAGGCAAGTTGAGGACAAATTATATATGGCTTTGAATGCCAAATGAAGGGATTCAGAGTTTACTCTCCTTGAAATGGGGGGCACTAAAGGTTTCTGAGCAGAGTAACCCTATAATATGAATTGTGCTTTAGACAGAACACTAACATCTCAATCTTCATGAATGCTCAGTTTATTAATGGGCTGAAATTTCTGTTTTAAGTAGAGTACTTATGTTTCTAACTAGAGATATTGACCTGTATGTAGTCAGAAAGCAGAAGGCTTTATTTCTATGTCCAAATGATACTTCTATATGGCTGTCCTCAGAAAATAACCGAAGGCATTTGCAAATACAGCTTATCAGATAATTTCACCTTCTGGTCTGGAGTAATCAAATTAAGTTGTTAACCAAAATTTGGTCAACAGTATTTCTACAATAATGATGACCTGAGGCAGATATACTATTAAGACCATCATATAACTGATAAGTACCTTCTTGCACTCCTCTGTCTAATGGAGATAACTCAAGTTCCACTGAATGTGCCTTATAACACTCTATAGCACACGGAAAAGGTATTAAGCATATGCAGTCTTGTTATCCTGTAGTATAATTGTAAATACAGACTCTAAAATCACTGCTACATTAAAAATTTAGAAAAGCGATACTTCATTTAGAAAAACTTTTATTTTCCAACCACAATTATGACAAAGGATGTACTTCTCTAAACACTATTCCTTAAATTTTAGGGAACTAATAACCTAAAAAAAAAACCCAAACACCTTCATATGTGTATTCTACTAGTAACTATTTACATGGCAATTTGAAATAATTTTTTTAAAAGTGTTAGAAAAAGTGAAAAGCAAAATGTCATGCAAACAAATGAGCTGTCTAAACAGTTTTTCTTTCCTTTCAAACAGAAAAGAAAGAACAAAAGCTTTCAGTGATAAAATTAACATCAGCCAGAGTGATGGTATGCCTTGGAACAGGAAAACAGAAAAGTCATGGATTCACATGTCCACTTTTTTTCATGCTCCTGACTGTACTGTAGTGAACTGCAGAACGTGAACACTTTCTGAAAGCTGAAAAGAATTCTGGAACTCGTACCAGCCCCTCATGAAGAGTTTCTGAAATAGCACCAGCACCTGTTTCCCGGATGTTGCAACTGTGGCCTTTAAGTCCACTTGTGTGGAAGAAAACGCAGCAGTGCCCGGGAGCAGCAATCGGGCTCAGAACCCTTCCCCAGCTCCCCGAGGCTGTGTCTGCCCAGGGTCGGGGCACTGGGGAGGGGTTGAGCCGGGGCCCCAAGGCCCCTCCCACTCCGCTGCCTTCCTCCCGCCCGCGCCCGCGGGTACTCACAGCTCTGGTCTCGTACAGAACGAGCTTCTGGACCGAGCTGATGATGGGGGCGGCGGCCGCGGGCATGGCTACAGCAAATGGAGGCCCCCGCAGCAGGGCACCAGGCCACAACCCAGGTTGCCACAGCCACCGAGCTACCCCAGGAGATCCGGGGGGAAATCACCCCACACCCCTGACAGCAAGAGGATGAGCAGCGTCCGGGCACTAAGGAGAGAGATGACCAGCCACAAGGCTGATGTTTCCGGATCTCTGCACGCCCCGCCCGCCACCTCCAAGTCAGTCCCGCCCCAGGCACGGAGGGGGCGGGGATGGAGGACGTACCATAGAGAGAACGTGTAGAGGCGCCTAGAATGTGCGTGCGGCCGAGGAAGCCGTGGGCGCCATCTTTGGTAAGGGCAGAGAAAAAGGTGGGCGGAGAAAAGGTCTTCGAGTTAATCAGTCTCGAGTTCATCTGGTAAAACTGAAGCGCTTCTCTCCAAGCGCTTCTCCACTCCCAAGTTGGTTCCCTCCCCTACTTATTTATGCATTTCTTTTTCTTCACTGAGTGTCAGTGTTTTTCTCCTCCTGGCGTCTCTTTAGGTTGTCCTATAAGTATCGGGAAAGTCCATGTTGTCCAGTCTGTGTAATTCAAGGAACTGTTTTTCTCAGCCACAGTGAGAATTTGGACTTTGCCATCTATTTGTGCCTGAGACTAACCATTTATAAATTTTGAAAATGAACCGTCGTGTCTAGGGGATCCGTGGAGCTTTAGAGCTAGGCAGTTCTGGGTATAAATAAGGCTTTTTCCATGTGATGTTCCCTCTCTGATCGTCACCTTCCCTGATGGTGAAAAGGGGTGTACTGAAATTATGAATACAAAATTAGCTGCAAAGGTAATTGTTTAAATAAGAAAAACATTGAAGTCCCCACCTCCTAAAGCTCCATTCCCAACAGGCCTCGCGGCTGCGCTGCGGAGGGTTTCCTAGGCAACCGTTCAACAGCCCCGCGAGGTCCCGCAAGCTGCTGCTGCTGCCGCCAGGCTGTGGGGTTCACTGGGGTCCACCCGGGCCTAGGTAAGTAGGAGGTCGTAGTACACCACCCGGGATGTATTTTGGTATCTCCGCGGACCCTAGAGCAGTTCCTATTCTTGCAAAACTAAACTTTGGTATATCTTAAATTCCCACTTTTAAAGCCACTTCCCTTCTCAACGACTAGTCTTCCTTCTGTTCATGCTTTTGAGCACCTAAGATGAGAGAAAATTGCTGAAGTAGCAGCTAACCTAGCCTAGACGGAAGTGCTGGGTTTCTCAGGAGATGCGTCCCCTATAAATCGCAGAACCCATTGCTGAAGGGTTTCTCAATTGCTAAAAATGTAAGGAAACTAAAAATTATATCGAAGAAACACATAATGTTGCCACATTAGGGATTACATTGTAAATTCAGATTTGAAAAATTACAATTTTTTTAAATACTTATTACTTTTTATTCTTGTTCATAGTTTGGTACCTTCTTATTAAGAATGAGAAAGATAGCCATGTTGATTCTAGCATTTTGCATTAACTTGGATCTTTTAGCTGGGAAAATTTAGTTTTGTTTTGTTATGGAAACCAAGTCTTCTTCCAAATATGAGTTAAATTAAGTGCACAAGAAATACAAATGGAAAAAATATATATGTGCACAATGTTTTTAGTTAGGATAACAAATCTTAAAATATTTATAGAATTGTGGGTTCCAATATTGAGTTTTCAATTGTCTTGTTAACTATAATTAAGCACTTCCTTATGACCTTCTCTTAGTTTGCAGCAGATCCTGAGACAAAAATTTGAGGGCAATTAGTGTATATGGAAAGGAATCCCAGGAAACAGAGGTAGGGAAGGCAAGGAAGCTATTAAAGGGAATATTATTAGGCAAATTTCTCTGGAGGGCTGAATTCACTGGGGAATATTGGGATGTATGTCTCTGAGTTCTCCCCTCCTAAGGGGCGAGAATGCTGGGTATTTATTCACCAGCACTCATCAGTTATTAGTTGAGGTTTGGGAGGTAGAACATTTATCCCTGGAACTTCCATTCTGCCTTGTGCTCAAATAGAACAGGTTCTGGCAGCTGGAAAGAGCCCATAGCCATAGTCACATATGCTAGCTGGAAGTTGGGCTGGCCATGCATGAAAAAGGTACATGTCAAGTACATGTCAAGGTCACTAATAACATCAGCTACCTTCCAACCTTAGAACCATTCATATCTACTCTTTCTCCCTTGAAGTTCCCACTATCCTATCACTGATTCTTCAAGGTGGTCCCAATTTCTAAAAAATTGGACTTAGAACAAAGATTAGTGGGACAAGCTACAGAATCCACTACTGCAATCAGCCCTAGAACTGTAATTGATAATTCATCACTGTCCTTGTCCACCACTCATTCTAGATTTCCTTTATCCTTGGTCAGCACTTTTGCTGGTTTAAACTATTTTCCCAGTAGGTAACCAGTAGGTATACCTCCCAGAGAGGTATAAACCTATAAAACTCTGGTAACCATATCCTTGTCAGATCACGGTTGTGCAATTACTCATTCCCTGGGCATGAGAGCATTAGAGGAGTCTCAGAGAATCCCCTAAGTGCAAGATGTACATCTCCCTGCCCCAATTATGTAGCAGCAAACTTCTCTCCACGTGTAGGTCCTTAGGGGCATGTGAAGTCAAGCAATACCAAGTAGCAGCAGCAGTTTTAGGTTTAGTGACACCTAGCTGGATCCCCTGTAGAAGCATCTCTCTCCTCTATCAAAACGTGGGCCTCCAGAGCCTAAAGTTGTGGGGAAGGACAGTGCAGCTCCCTCATGTCAATGACTAGAGACAAGGTGAAGGGGCCACTCCTACTTCCAACCCTGGCTCAAAGTATATTCCTCACTTTGAAGTACAGTGTCTCAATGATCCCAAACTGGTGGTAGCTGTACCTTAAAGAGGTCATTACAACATTCTGTTAGACCAGCAGCTTCCAAGTGAGGTGGCTGGATCAATGGATCCCATGATTATGAGTCTCATATGTCCTGTACTATATAGAGGATCCTTTGACTCAAGCAATATTATTTGGGGTCCCATATGATAAATGAGATACTCAAAGCCCTCAGATGGTGGTACTGGCCATGACACTGCAGGTAGGGAATACAAGCCCATAGTGGGAATGCAAGCCCATAGTGGCAACACATGCCACTTGCTGCCCCCTCCAAGGTAAAGGGGTCTTGTGTAATCAATTTGTTCCTTCATGGATGTTTGGTCTCAAGAGATTATGCATATTAAGGACTCAGCCTATCTGCTGCAGACAGGTAGAAACTGCAGCAGAGTGAGCATAATCAGTTATCCTAAACAATTCACCCTTTATTACCTCCTTTATCATAATTTGGTTGTATACAGGGATTTCTGGAATCCCTTTATACATAGTTCTACACACATATACAGAGTCAACTAACAAGAATTTAATTTTATGTATTAATGTGGGGGTGGTATTGCAAAACTAAATCTTTTCATCTAAAAATATATTATGGCTCTTCATTCATTTGGGTGTTTTTTACTATCCTTTAGCAAAATTTTATAGTTAGTATATACATTGCTCATTTAAATGAAAATTATTGACTTTTATGAAATAATTTAAAAAATTTTTTTAAGATTTATTTATTTATTTATACAAGCACTGGGTACAGTCAGAACCATGGGAGGGCGAGAGAATTCACCAGAGCCAGAGCAGGGAACAGAACAGGCAGACTGACGAAATACACTGTTGAGGGAAGCAGCGGGCGCGCAGGAGAGGTCTGTGCGCCATGTGGGACCCTCGCCGGCGGCCAGGAATCAAACCAGTGCTGCAGAGGCTGCGGGCAGCTTCACAGCCCAGTGCTCAACCACTGTGCCACTGGGGGAGGCCCAATTTTAAAATGTTTTGCCAGGCCATTTTAATTACTTCTAATCAAAAGCAACTATCATTATTTTGTCCATGTTTTGTCATTTTCATTTTAAAACTTCTTTAATCCAATAATATCTAGAAGAATATTATTTTTCTAATTTTCAAGAACTAGTACTTTAAAAATACTTTTATAATTCTTTTCAGTATTATTTCATTGTGATCAAGAAATATGCCTACTGTTATTTTAAGTAATGGCACTATTCTGTGAGTATATTTAGAAATTTTATAAATATGAATATGTAAATAGTATATAAGAATTTGATATTTGAAAATAAGACATGATCTTTGTACAAAAAACAAATCCCAAAAATTATGACCTGAATTGTATTTGGGTGATTGACTCAAAAGAACCATTGTAACTTGTTAATGTAGTTCTTTTTTTTTCTTTTTTAAGATTTATTTATTTACACAAGATCCGGGATACAGGCCAGATGTGTGGGAGGGGGAGAGGATTCACCAGAGCAGAGCAGGAAACAGAACAGGCAGACTGACAAAATACACTGCTGAGGGGAGCAGCGGGTGAGACAGGAGAGGCCTACTGTGCCATGTTGGATTCTCACCAGCCGGCTGGGATTGAACCCACGCTGCGGAGGCTGCAGACAGATTCACAGTGCGGTGTTCAACTGCCTGTGCCACCAGGGAGGCCCATTGTTATCATAGTTCTTACAGATAAACCTGTTGTTAACATAGTTCTTACAGATAAACTGAAATTGGCGTTTTTTTATAATATCAACTTCATAGTCCAAAATAACAGATTCTAAAAATTATGTAAAATTAAAAATTTGTTTTTACAGACATTTATTAAAAATTACAAAATGAAAAAACTACATTAGTTCTGGAAAGTTTTCTTCATGGAATTAATGAAGGCTTCCTTAAAATATGAAAATATGAATCCAACAAATCCAACAAAATCAGCTTTACCTTTTCTATTTCTGGATACAGCTGTAGGTATATAGATATGTATAGATATGTATGTATGTATAAATATGTATGTATTTAGATATAGATATGTATGTATATATAAATAGGTGTTAGATATGCTCTAGATATAGATAAGCACATATAGACACGGATACATATGTATGTAAGTATAACTAGTTTGATCTTTGATAGAATATACATATAATCACATGTATGAGTATGTGTACCTATATGTATTTTTCACCTTTGGTTTTTCAGAAGCTGTTTTATCTGTCTTTTATTTAGCATATAGGTGGATTTTGCTTTTTGTGTCAAACTAAGAGCCTATTATTGTTTTAATAGATGGCTTTAACTTGAACTTATTGGTAAAATCTGTGTATTTAGTGGTATGGAATGGCTTCTGGGCTAAGTAAATTTATAGGCTATCCTAGTTCTCCCTAACAACCTGCCTGTCTGTTCAAACTAAGCCAGGTACTTTAACGACCTTACTCTTTCTTATTGTAGTATTTTAGATTATGACTTCTCAAGAGAAGACAGAAGAGCATCCTTTTGTGGATATATTTAATGAAGATGAAGCTGAACAAAACTTTCTGTTGTCTAAACCTGTTTGCTTTGCTATATTTGGAAAACCAGTAAGTTATTTCCTCTAATTTATTATTTAAGACACATTTTTCTTTCTAAAATCATAACCTTAGGTTAACCATTCAAGCATAAAAGCCACAGTGTACTAATTTTTTGAGTGTTTGCTAGACTTCTCATTGTGTAATTTAAAATCTCTTTCTTGTACGCTATAATTGCAAAGGAACCAACAGTTCCAATATTTTTCATTATATTTGTAAAAACATCATAGAGTTTTAAAAATCAACAGTGAAGGCAATAAAATGGAAATGTTATTTCATTAAAGTGCTCACTTATCTTTAAACTATGATACTTTTCAAAGATTCTGTTAAGGAATTTTTGGTCATGAAAGTTACTAAATGGAGGTCTGTGTAAACATTCATGATTATAAACTTTAGGAAGGAAATAAAAATGATAACTCTCAATAGTCACGATGATATGAATTCAAAATTACAAAATTTGACTATGAAATGAGTTCAATGCCACTATGATACAACTTGGTTTCAGAGAGAAAATTCTAAAAATTTGGTTTAAATCACTTCATGAAGTTTGGCATATGTGACATTTAGAAAGAAAAATGAAGCAATAAATATCTAGGGTCTACTCTACCTTTGTTTTGTAGGGAAAAATTTTACTTGGTAACATTAGGGTAATAATAATCATTAATAGAATCATTAAAAATGGGAATATCTGTTTCACTAGCAAATAGCTGTTCTGTTGGGTTTTACATAACATCTTTCTTTTTAAGGGGGTTGGGAAGACAACCTTGGCCCATCACATAGCACAGGCATGGAAATGTATTCGTGTGGAAGGTAAATTTTACCTTTTTTTCTCCATTATTTATGAGAACTTTCAAGTATACATAAAAATGGGAAGAATTATGCAAGAACACCTATGTACCCATCTAGTCATCTTCTAGATTCTATGATCAACATTTACTGTATTTGCTTTATCATACATCTCAACCCAGTAATGATTACCTTTATAAAGCATCAAACAGGTTTGGCCCTTCTGTTAGCCCTAATTTTGTTCATAGAATTTAGGAATGTTTATGGAATGATTTTTACTATTCTATTGCCTCCAATTTTCTAATTCCATATTTTAAAACTATTCAAGATCTATGTGTTTTGGGTGTCTCCCTATGGAAGATGAAAAGGAACTCTCATAGCTACTCATGCAAGCCTTTTTCAGGAATTATTTATCTTCAGTAATAAATTTGATTTTTTATTTATAAGTTGCCTTGCATTGTTTGCATATGTAAGACAGAGTTGATATCCTAATCCATAAATATCCTTTTATTCAATAAAACTACTTGTTCCCTAATAGAAAAATAGGTAAAAGAATGAATCAAAAGCTCATAAAAATAGAAAAAGATGAATTGAAAAAAAGTTTAACCTCATTGTTATCTAAAGAAATGCTAATTAAAATAACACTGATTCATATTTACCTTTCAAATTGGCAATGAAATTTTAAAGCTTCTATTGATAAAATCATTTTAGCAGTGAGCATTCTATGTGCTATTAGTGAAATTGTGGTCTGGTACAATTTGAGAGAGAACAATTAAGTAATAAGTAATACAAATACAACTTTAAAATGTTCTTCTTTCTTTGATCAAAACAATCCACTTCTAGGAAATCTTGAAGAATACCAAAGTCCATGTGGACATAATTCCTGGGTTCTCCCCAGATCATGCCCCCAGTGCTCCTGTCATTTCCATCCCAGGATGTCTTCCAGCAAGCCATCTAATTATTTCCTCTTAAAAAAGGAAAAATATTGTTGGAATTTCAGCCTCAGGACCCTTTTCCTAATCAGTGTTTATCCATTTGAACATATCTTCATGTATCCTTTACTTTTATATAGTAGTATGCCAAATTAATGTGCTCTGAATATAACTATATGGTTGTAAAATTATCTGGACTAATAATACTAGTATATACTTTCTTTCATGCAATACATAGCACTTTCCAGTCACCATCATATACACCACCTCATTTCATTCTCACACTCCCTTGCATACTACACAAGGCATAAGCGTGCAAGAAGCAGAGGTGTTTAGGAAGTTAGCTTTCCCAGAATCCTTTAGCCAGTGACAGAGACAAGTTCCCTGTGGAGGACATTCTGCTGCCTCTTACTTTGGTTAGGCTTAAATAACATGTGTATAAACTTGCTTTGTAAACTCTAAAGTGATAGATAGTTAATCTTTCTTACCAGTTATAAAACGCATGAATGTTTCTTAATTTGGCTTTCTAATATCGGTTCGTGCTAATATTTTAAATTTGTATTTTAGCTTTAGCAGTTTTGGAAGAACATATTGCCTCTGAGACAACATCAGGAAAGATGGTAAATAAAGCTGAGTTTTACAGTAATGAGTTTTATTGGGAAAGCTCTGGACCAGACATCTATGGTACAGTAATGTACAATATTTGTGCTTGTTCTTAGTTGCAATCCATGCTGCTCCATGGTCACAGCATTCCAGATGAACTTGTCACAAAGCTCATGATAGAGAAGCTCAACTCTGTAGAAGTCTCTCACTTTGGTATGATTACTGTTCTATATCCGCAGTTCACAAAGCAGCCTTGAAACATGGGCTTTATCTGATGTACAAATAATGTCTAGAGTTGCTCTTTCTTTTTGCCCTTGCACAGGGATCCTGGAGTCTGAATTCAGTTAAGCAACGCAGGTAGTTTCATTTGCTTGTTTACTTGTTTTTATTCTTCAGATTCTACATTTGTAAGGAAAAAATTAAGTCTTTTAGCATTATATTCATCTGTAGATGAGTCTCAAAAAGATAAGGACTCAAAATTCATTATCACCATTATCATAATTAAAAAATTAACAGTCATCTTTTAACCAGTCTGTAGTCACATTTCATTAATTTCATTATTCTCTTCATCTATTTCCTTGAATTGTTTTTGTCTTTTGAAGCAAGATCCAAGCAGGTTTCACATATTTATATTGATTGATGTTTCAAGTCTCTCTTAATCTTTAGGTTCCCCTTAAACTCTTTCTATCATCTTGTGTTTTTGTTGAAGAAACTGGCTATTTGTTTTTTAGTTTCCTAAATTCTAGCTTTTGCTGATTTCATTCCCTGGTATCATTTAATATGTTCCTCTGGACCCTAGACTTCTCATACTTGTCCTGGTAGCTGGCAGAGGAAAAATGGTAAAAATGATTTCTTGAGTCTGGAGACAATGCTATCAGCATGCAATTGCAAGGCCACATTCTAGAATGCACACCTGGGCTGATTTAAAGGCATTGGTGGGAGCTTCTGCCCAGCCTCCCCCAAAATTTTCTTCGCATCCCCCCAAAATTTCTTTGGAAATTAGCACTCTGCTAAACAATGTGAAAGTCTTTACTCAGCAAGGATTCCTTTTGATTTTGGTCTCACCCAGCAGTTGCTTAGACGGTAGAAGCAAAATTGGAAGTAAAGAGCTTTCAAAACAGGAATATTTACTTGGGAGAGGACCTGGGTAATTGCTGACTCCAAAATCCCTCGCGTGTTGCTAGAGACACTGCATAGTAGACAATTGTCAAATTTGATCGTAATTTTTGTCTGTACCAGAGCACTTTTTTACTTGAAGCTCTTATGTCTGTTTAGAAGGAACTTACACAAGATATATATAACCCATCGTGCTGTGCTGGCCTTGAGCCAAAATCAGTTTCCATGAACATTCTCACCAAAAGAAAAAGGAAGAGTCACTACCTGAGCACCCTGAGAAGCTGCTCTCTACTGCTTGCTTCTAGATGCTAGAAGCTTCTAGAAGTTTTCTCTAGTGAGTCACAGCCCTGATCTGGGCAGTCCCTTCCCTGGATGTATCACATTGTGGATGGTCTTACAAGTCATTGGTCATCAATGTGTCCCCTCATGTCAGGCTAACTTGAGGTCAGATCAATATCTGACTTGTCTCTAGGATTTGAGAGGTTAAGAATGGACTCAGCAGCTCTGGTCTGTTTACAAGGAAGTGTTCCCTTGATATCTTCCCAGAACTGGGTCTAAAGAACTGTTATTCCACTCTAAATCTTTAGTAATGAGACAAACTTAAAAGGCATAACTGTCTCTCCCACAGCTCTTCCATAGATATTTTCTTGGAGTATGGATGTGATGCCTCTGGCCATTCCCAATGAAGGAGTTGAGATTTTATTCTATTATTAATAGAAAAAGTTTCTCTCACAGGAGAGTGACATAATTAAATAAGTCCATTAAGGAAATGAATCTGGTAGTGATAAATAGGGTAATTTTCAAAGAGCCCTAGGTTTCTGGAGAGAGGTGCAAGTCAGTAGATGTGCTAAGCCAGAATCATATTGAGAATGTTCTGTTTCTGAAACTGTGTGAGTGTGGGTGGGTACATGGATGATTTATTAGGTTCTGTAGTTTACATAAACATGTGTGCATGTATTCTGCTATAGTATGAAATGTTGATTTAAGAAGAAAATACTATGACATATACCAAGACATAAAAAAATATGTCTTACTCTACAGGTTATATCATCACTGAAATACCATCACTTTCAGAGCAGGCAATGACTATTTTGCAGCAAATAGAAACGATTAAAAATTTAAAATTGAAACCCGATATTATAATCAATATTAAGGTAAGAATATTGGGTGTATTTCTAGTATAGATAACCATTCTGTTTACTCGTAGTGAAATGCAAGGAATATTTTAAAAAATTTTAAGTAGTTAGGGAAATAGTAATTTTTGTATCAATGAGGGATACTGAGTTATACTTTCTCAGAACTCTGCTTTTGCCCTTGCATCTCCATCCACAAGAAACACCTCCTTACCCTTCGCCAGGCTTAATCACAGTCATTCTTTGAAAGCCAGGTTAGGTATCATCTCTTCAGAACTTCCCATGTTACCAATATCCTCCACACCAACATGTACATTTACTTAGCTCCCCACCCCCTTACCCTCCCACACCTCACTTACCACAGAAAAGTTAAATTCTTCTCTGAATACCATTCACATTGCTCTCTTCTATTATCATTGTTACCTCACAATATTGTAATTGTCCATTTTCTTTCTAGACTCTGCCTTAAAGACTAGAGCCAGGTCTTCCTCATATAAACATCAACTAGAAAAATATATGGTACCTAGTAGATACCTAATAAGTTTTCCAGTTAAATAAAATGAAAAAAATGAACAAATTACTTGGATGTATGACTGTTCAATAACAACAGCAGATTGATTTGAGAGTCAAGGCTGGGTCCTATTTCTAGTTCTCTCCTTTCTCAACTTAGGATTTGGTAAATTACATTTAGAAGCCTCAATTTCCTTTTCAAATAGGTAACAATAATAGCTGCCACATGGGGTTGTGATAAGAATTCAGTGAGGTGAGGCCTACTTGTTTATATGAAAATGAATGATTAAAAATTTAATTTTAATTTGACAAGCTTTTATGTTCATATCCTGTCTGATTCCCTCCCCCACCAAAGGTTTGATGACTCAAAATAATGTAGATGGTTCTTAGCTCAACTGCTGGAACTGAGTGGTGTGTTAGGGGCAGCAGTAAGAGCACACGTGGCACTCATGTGAGCATGGTGTCATCTGTAGCCCCAGCCACAAGTCATGATCAGAGGTCAATCACAATCCCTGTGTGACCTTGAGAATACGTGAATGAATATATAATGGAGAGAAGAAAAGATCTCAAACAACTAGCTGAAACCAAATATAAAGTCTAAGCTATGGAAAATATAGCTTATATAGGAAATTAAGACCTCGTAGAACAAGAACACAACACAGATATATGGCCATAAGTCCCCATGAAGCTGTAGTGATAGTAAATATTGTAAATATGTTATTTTTTATAGTTAGGAATATGTGGATAACGCCCCATTTTTTTCCATTCTCATCCATTCTATTTTAATCTGACAAAATCCTCCTGTGTGCCTTTGCAGACTCTACTGACTTTCTGTTTCTCTGACTCTTTCTACTGTTTCTCCAACCCCCTGTTTTGATCCTTAAACTTGGGACCCTTTCTCACATACGTAAATTTCAAATAAAGAAAAATTGGGGATAGCAGAAAAGTCAGGCCATGTGCCTCTCCTGGCATGTAATGAAACCTGATATAAATTGCCCTTATGAGATTGCATTTACTCAGGGTTTTCGGGAACTTTTTGGTTTATGTATTACATGCTATATTAATAAGAAGTAAAAGCACATTTTTTTAAGATTTATTTATTTATATAAGAACTGGGGTACAGGCCAGAGGCATGGGAGGGTGAGAGAATTCACCGGAGACAGAGTGGGGAGCAGAACAGGCAGGAGAGTTCTGCCACGCCATGTGGGTTAGTTCCCTGGCTGGCTGGGAATCGAAAATGCAGAGGCTATGGACAGCTTCGCAGTGCTGCACTCAACCTGCTGCGCCACCGGGGAGGCCCCAATAAAAGCACATTTAAATTGTCATGATTTCTGATATTGTTCCTTAGTGTCCTGACTTTGATTTGTGCCAGAGAGTTTCTGGGCAAAGGCAGCACTGTCACACAGGGCACCTGTATACAAGAGATCAGTGGGATCCTGAGTTTATTGAGAATCGTAGGAAAAAGAGGAAAGAAGCCCAAAAAGAAAGAAAAGTGGAAGAGGAAGGGGAAGAGGAAGAAGAACAAGAAGAAGAAGAGGTAATATCCAACGCTATATACCACACTTTTAAAATTCACTATAATTAAGTGATGAGCATAATCAAAAATAGTGAATACTAGAGAAAATTGCATTTTCTTTAAATGTTTATTTTAGTCTAGAAGAAAAAGCAAAAATATTTCATATTTTCTTTTTTTAAAAGATTAATTTGTGTATATAAGAGCTGGGGTACAGGCCAGAGACATGGAGTCCGGGGGTGGGAGGATTCACCAGAGACAGAGTGGGGAACATAACACACAGACTGACTGAAGCACACTGCTGAGGGGAGGAGCAGGCGAGTCAGGAGAGGTCTGCTGCGCCATGAGGTTGCTCCCTGGCCAGGGATCGAACTCCTGCTGCGGAGACCGCAGACCACTTCATGGTGTGGTGCTTAACCCCTTGCACCACCAGGGAGGCCCCAGTATTTCATATTTTCAAAAATCCTTCGATCATATAACCTAGAGAGGTCATCAAGCTGAACCTTCTTCTCAGTGTTAAAGTCCCTCCACATCCTGACAGTTGATGTGCTGCATTTCACATCATGACAGAGAGCTTTGGGTCACTTGCTATGTGTCAAGCATTATGCAAGTAAGAATGAGGAGTTAAAGCAAAAAAAGACAAAGTTTAATGTGGGGTTCAAAGTAGCCCAAGCATAATCCAGTGTAAGAAGTTAGCATGACCCCAATCCCAAGTCCGACAAAAAGTGTTCATGTTCTTACTCTCTTCTCCCCTCCTGTAGTATGTCTCTGATTTATAGTTGCCTATTGATTTTGATTTTTTCAAAACAAGGGTGGGAAGAGTACAAAGGACCATGGTGATAGTTCACGGGTGAATAGGTGGTGGGAATTTTACAGAGACTATAACCAAGATGAAAAGGTATATATTGTACAAAAATTAAAAATGATGTAAAAAAATATAAAATAATTAAAAATAAATTTAAAAATTTTTAAAAATGCTCACAGAAACCAAAAAAAAAAAAAAAAAAACAGTGCTCATGGAAAGAAATGTGTAGTCCAATTTCATTTATACATGTTGTCACTGCAATCCTAAAATGAATACTAGTAAGCATAATGCAATAAGGAATTAAAAGAATCTTCCACCATGGCTAAGTAAGGACAATTTGATAATAAGAAATCTGCTAACAGGTAATAGGCTGGATTTGGTAACCCATAGGGATGAGGGGCCCATAGTTTCCCATCCTTGCTCTGTTGAAATGTATCTGTTATTTCTATTACAAATTTTTTTAAAATTTCCCATAAATTCTAAGATATAATTTGTTTAATGTATTATAAGTAAATACTATTTTCATTAGAGCCTAAACTCTGTGAAGTTAAGTGTTAACGCAAGGTACCTCCAAAATCACAATTTTATTGTCCTGTAATATTAAGCAGACTGCATCTAATTTTGCAGTCTTATTTCAGTGATTATAAGAACTGATGTATTTGCATTGATAAAAGCTATAATTAATCATTATTTAATAAACATGATAATGATGACAAATAGGGTATTGAACATTTACCAGGACTTGGCCAGAGAACTTTTATATGTAACGTTCCCTCTGCCTTGAAATGTTCTCTCTGCAGAAATCTGTATGGATTCTTCCTCAATCCCTTCTGTATTTTACTTAAATGTCACTTCTTCAGAGAACCTGGTTTTAAATAGCACCTTTTCCCATCAGGCTCTATCCTCTCTACCCTGTCTTGTTTTTCTTCCTAGTACTCACTGCTACCTAACAAGTTCTATATTTATTTGTGCACTTGTCTATGTTCTGTTGTGCCTAGCTAGAATGTGTGTTACATGAACCCCAGGGTCTTTGTTGGTATTGTTCTCTGTCCTACCTCAAGTTTCTAAAACAGTGCCTAGCACATAGCAGTCACTCAATAAATCTTTACTGAGTGAATGAATGCACTACAAGCTCAGATACTCAAAGAAAATCTTATTTCTTTACTTTGTCTCTCAAAATCTGATATTCTTCCCCTACTCCTTACTACTTGTTGGGGAGCAAAAATAAATGAATACGTTTCTAAGCCAAATGAAATTTTATTTTATCTAATCAAGGCTTATTAGGGTATTCAATGTCTCTTAAATGGGGCACAAGGGGTTAAGCACCGCACTATAAACCAATCCACAGCCTCTGCAGCACGAGTTCGATCCCCGGCCGGCCAGGGAGCAACCCACGTGGCGTAGCAGACCTCTCCTGTCTTGCCCACTGCTCCCCTCAGCGTGTACTTCAGTCAATCTGCCTGTTCTGTTCCCCACTCTGTCTCTGGTGAATCCTCTCACCCCCTGCATCTCTGGCCTGTACCCTAGCTCATGTATGCATAAATAAATCTTTTAAAAAAGTTTTTTTTAAAAATCCCCAATCTCTAATCTTCCTTTCTCCCTGCTTCTCAATCTGAAATGGCATGTGGGGATAAAGAGGAAGGAATGTGGCTCGAAAATTAAGTTATCATTAACACTAACCTATTTAAAATCTCTCCTTTCCCATTTAGGCCTTTATGGCTGAAATGCAGACGGTGGCTGAAATTCTTCAACATCTAGTGCAGAGGCCTGAGGACTATTTGGAAAATATTGAGCATGTTGCTCAGCTTTATAAGGAAACAGTTCTTCCTTCTTTAGAAGTAAGAATAAGATATTTTGCAAAAATGGGAATATTGATGCTTTTGTTTTATCACTGATTTAATAGCTTTCACATTTCCTCATCTCTTTGTATTATCTGCCTGATCTCCCCCTCTTAAACTTTAAGAATGATATTAGAATACAGATTCCATACCACAAGCTGTTTCACAGAACAATAATATTTTACAAAGCAGCAATGTTGCTGTAGAGTGATAAATGAACTGTGTTTTTCAAAAGTCACAAGGGAAAGTTATAGATGGACATTGGAAAACCCATATTAAAAGACTACTTTGTAAATGCATTTTCAGTCTATGATTTATGGGTTTATCCAAGCAAATGGACATTTACAGTGCTGCTTTTTTTCATAAACAAATTTGTTAATTTAGTAAAATTGCAGTCTAAAGAGTTATCACCAGGTTGGTTTCTATGGCTGCTCATTCAAAGTTGATATATATAAACATGGTAAGACCATTATATATTGTAGTAGGAGTGTTTTAATTAAAGTGATTAGCATTTTAAAATGTGATTGCTAAAATCACAATTATGTGAAAAGCATATCCAGGGCAGACTCTGCCAAACTTGTGCTGGAGGTTTATTTAGCATTTACTGAACTTGAGTATTTGGCCAGACATCAAGCTAAGCAATAAAAGCTACAACAGAAGACAAAACAAAAACAAAAGAAAGTTCTCACGTTGATGCTCCTCATGTGATAGAGAAACTAAAACAATTAGTTTCTTGTTGTTTTATTATGTTTATATATTGTTTAAAGAAAAATGAGTGTGTCATTTTCTTCTTCACCCTCCACAGTGAGAACCAAATTCGTAAGGGGCACAGGGACATAGATGGTCTTTTAAAGATGGAGACCAGGTCTTATATCCTAGCAACACTCATGCCCAGTGTAGACTTCAAGTATGATAAGCCTTAAATACTTAACAGGTGTCCAGCAGAACAAGTGTTAAAATGGCAAAGGATAAAGAATGATAGCTTCAATGTTATGAAATGTGAAACTTTTAGAAATAAAATTTGTTTTTAAAAAATACCCCTCCACGGGTTTCCGCTGGTGGCGCAGGTGGTTGAGTGCCATGTTGTGAAGCTGTCCGCAGCCTCTGCAGCACCGGTTCAATACCGGCTGGCCAGCGAGGGTCCCACATGGTGCAGCAGACCTCTCCTGTCTCGCCCGCTGCTCCCCTCAGCAGTGTACTTCATCAGTCTGCCTGTTCTGTTCCCTGCTCTGTCTCTGGTGAATCCTCTCACCCTCCCGCGCATCTGGCCTGTACCCTGGTTCTTGTATAGGTAGATAAATAAACCTTTAAAAAAAAAATCCCTCCAATTTGAAGATAATAAAACTGGAAAAATATCCACATCAAGTATGATTTAAAAAAAAACCTTAAAACTTTGATGTAATTCATAGAATTGATATTTTAAAGCCTGAAAGTTAATACCCTCCTGAGTGAAATGAGCAGCAAATATGACCAGAAGATGATTCACAAAAATAAGAGACAAAAGTGTAACAAGCCTGTAGAAAAATGTTCAGCCTCACTGATACTAAAGAAGTGCTAATTTAACAGTGAAATTGCATTCCCACAGTCAAAATTCAAAAGATGAACAAGTAATAAGAATAACTAACACTAGCAAATATATGGTAAAGCAAAGACTCTCGTATTCTGCTGAAAGAAATATAAAAATTCATGTAGTTATTTTTGAATAGCTTGTCCACAAGTGGAAAACCTCTGGGCTGTGTAGCAAAGTTTAAATAAGAATTGATTGCCCTGGTGCTAATAAAGCAAGAATTTCCAAAACAAGCACCTGGGTGACACTTGCTGAATAGTAAAGCAGTCGTCTTGCATGGTAGTTTCAGGGTGCTGGTGTGTAGAGGTGGAGGTAGGGGGAGCCAAAGAAGGAAGGATCCTATAACTGTAATCTCTGAGCTGGATGAGTTGTCACTAAGACCAAGAACACCATAATTCAATGCTCCTCCCAAAGAGAAGGAAAGCAAGAGGGAGCAAACTGACCGGTGTCAGTTTCTGGCTTATCTCCTGTTTCAAGAGTAATCAGGCTAAGTCTCTTGCCTGTCTTGGAATTCCAGCTTGACTCCGGGTCTGACCTGTTTCGTGTATCCTTAATCTTAGCAGTATTTATACCCTTTGACTTAGTCCAATCTTAAGAATCTAGCCAAAGGGGAGAATCTAAAATACGTTATATACCTCCCTGGTTAGAACATGGTAATTTATGGCTAAACAAATTACCATAGCTAAACAAACATTCATCTAGCATTTCATAATGTTCAGAAGAAAAAAAAAAAAAACCACTTAGACACCAGTTTCACACACTGTAAAAGATAAATACACAATTAAGATTTTGTTCAGACTGTTGCAGAGAATATTCAGAGAATGCTTATTAATGAGGGCCTTCTGAAAGGAAATGAAGGTGGTACCTGGGGGTTTTATGGAGTCTGATCTTATCTTGAGGAAGAGTGGAAATGGGTCTTAATCTCTCTACCATTCCTACTATCTGGGAAAACAAAGCTCAAATAGAATTCAACATTGCCAATTTACAAAAATAAAAATCCAGTGGATTTTAGATGTAATGTTCAAGACAAAATAATAGGAGGAAATTTAGAAGACTGTTAGAAAATGTAATAGAATACATTATTATAAGATAGAGAAAGAATATCTAACTTAAACAAGAAAAAAAATCCTAAAACAAAACATTTTAAAAGTATTTTATATTACAGGAGAAACCATAAAGTCAGAAGATAAATCATAGCAAGGCAAAATATTTACAATCCATAAAAGAGGTGAGGGTTAAAGACTTTCCAGGGAAATGATATAATCTAGCAGAAAATGCACCGAGGTTAAGGTTAAGCATCATACAGAGGTGAATATCTGGAGGCTGAATCTTACCCATAGCCATGGAATAAAAAATGAAAACAAATAAATGCCATTTTTCAACTATCACTTTGGCAGAAATTATTTCACAAATATGTGCAGAGACAGATACCCCAAAATATTTTGTGTTTAGTGTAGAGAAAAAACTGAAAAAAAAAAAATGAACAGAATAAAATTCATAGTAGGGAGACTACATTAGCCTTTTGTAAAAGTCTCTTAATCACTGAAAAGAACAAATATATTATGTATAAAACAACTTGACTTTAAAAATTTCTTTCTAGTATATTTAGATTTGGTCTTTATATTCCGTTTTGCCAGTGAACCTAGATTATAAGATTTCTTGTCTATTATCTACAGGAAGTAATGGCTGAACATAATTCCCAGTATCTCATTGAGCTAGATGGAAATAAACTCCCAGAAGATCACTTCTTAGTAAGTACAGTGTTCATTAAGAATATTTCACAGCTTAGAAAATCAAAAATTGTTTTGACCTGATTGCATTTATTTAAATAAACATCAGAACTATATTTACATTTTTAGCACTATTTATTTTTGAAAAATTCAGTTTGACACTTAAAATTTTGATGTTGTATTTATGCATCTATTCACATTTAAATCAAACTACATTTGAATTTTAAAACTCTATATGGCAAAAAGTGCCTCAAAGAAAAGTAAAAGCAAATAACAGAAAAACACATGAAAAGATATTTGACTTATCCTTCAGGGATATGCAAATGGAAACCATAGTGAGATACCACTTCACACCCACTAAGATGGCAAAAATTTTTTAAATGTCAATAACAAGTCTTGTTAAGGATATGGAAAAATTGGCACCCTATATGTTACTACTGGGATTCTGAAATAGTGTAGCATTTTGGGAAAGAGTTTGATAGTTCTTTAACAGGTTAAACGTGGAATTACCACATGACTCAATTCCTAGATGTATAAATATTACCCAAAGGAATTGAAAACAGATTCAAATAAAACGTGTACATAGATATTTCATAACAGTACTATATATATGTGAAATGTCCAGAAAAGGCAAACCTACAAAGACAGAAATAGATTTGCAGTAGACTATGAGGGGAAGGAGTTACCCATATGGGATATCTTCGTAAGTGCTTCGCATCAATTAATATTCAGTATGTTGGGCAAAATAAATATCTGAAGGGTTATAGTCAGGGAATGACAATGTGCTATAGGAGTTCATGACAGAAAGGCAGAACCTAGTCTGGTGAAGAGGCCATTTGTCTGAAATTATTTTTAAATTGAAACTCTAAGGATGAGTAAGAATTTGACCCTGAAGGCTAGGAGAGGCAAGGGTGGTGGGACTGTGTTCCACGCTGAGGGAAGAGTCTGTGGGAAGCTCCAGAGATGAGAAAGAAAACAGTGAGTTCTAGGTACTGAACATGGGACTGAAACATAGGAGGGCTTTTTAAAGGGATGGAGTAGAAGGACTGAAACTATCTTCCCTCTGCCCCAAGAGGTCTTATAGATCCAGACCTCTAAGTATATGAACATTTGGGGGGCATGTGACAGACAATTACAAGTTGAATTGCATCCCCCGCAAAATATATGTTGAGGTCCTAACTTCCAACACCTATAAATGTGATCTTCTTTGGAAATAGGATCTTTTCAGATTTAATCAAAGTCAGATGAGTGCATACTAAAGAAGGGTGAACCCCAATCCAATATGGCAGGTATCCTTATAAGAGTAGTGACTCAGACAGGAAGGCAGATGACTGTTCTCTGACAACAGAAGCAGAGATTGGAGTGATGAACCCAGGAGTACCAAGGATTGCTAGCAAACTACCACCAGCTAGGAAGAGGCAAGGAAGTATTTTGCTCATAAGCTCAACAATTTTTCAGAATATTTGACATACTTAAATGCTAACATATTTAAAGATTTGTTTTTTAAATTTAGACAGTTATAGAGCGACTTAAATATCTGAACCTAAAAAGAGCAGCAATTATAACCAGACTTCAGGGTGCAGAGGAAGAGATAAATGACGTAATGGAAAATGTAAGTTATATTTAACTATTTGAATGTCTACTTTTTCATTGTACGTTGTGACCTCAATTTGTATCCTTTCAAGGTTTAAAAAGAGTTTCAGGATACCCATTATAAAAATAGGTTTGGCTTTCAAGAAGAAGCAGTATGATTAATACAATATTCAAAACAAAAAGTTTTAAAACTAAGAAACACGTTAAGATCAGAAAAATTAACCATAGAAATAATGAAAAAGAATAGAATTCAAGTTCAGTTTAAAAGTTTTGCAGCACCAAAGAAAACAAAGACATCAAACTCCTCAACTCTGTAAGCACTCATTCATTCCTTCAATCAATTTTTTTTCAATTGCTGTGTTCTTGATGATGATGTATTATGGATATGATGATGATCAAATTATAATTGTTAAGGCTAAAATGTCCACAGGAATTTTCAAACAGAGGATTTGATCTATGTAGGGAAGTTTAGTTTCACCTATATGAATAGAAATAAAGTAAATACCAGAATCATAAATAGATACTAAAATTCAAAATAATCTTTGAAAAGAGAGGTCCTTTTGTTATCCTGTACTGTTTATTCATAGAGATTAGTGGGTGAGCACAGCTGAAATACATGCTTCAGTAACATGAACTGGTGCTGAAGAGGATGATAGGTGTGACCAGCACAGAGACTGAGCCTCCTAAATCATCACTGCAGGGAAAATTTAAAGTAATCATGAAACCTGAGAAAATCTTCCAGATAGAACGTTTATCCTTTGAAATTATTGCATGTGTGGGCACAGGCCTAAGGTTACAGTTCACAAGTTATACAATAGTGCCCCCTTATCCACAGGGGATACCGTACAAGTTCCTGAGTGGAGGCCTGACACCTATTTATACTGTTTTTCCTTATACATACATACCTTACAATAAAGCTTAATTTATATATTAGGCACAGCAAGTAACTAACCACAATAACTAGTAATAATAGAAAACTATAATAATATACTGTGATAAAAATTATGTAAGTGTTCTCTCTCAATATCTTATTGAACATATTTTTTCAGACAGTGATGACAACAGATAACTATAACTTCAGCAGAGAAGCCCTGGATAAGGGGGGACAACTGTATATAACTAAGGATGCTTGCCCTTTTTTTCATAAAAGTGTATACTGGAAAGGTTATTCATAACTCTGAAGTGGTATTGTTATAGGGCAGCCCTGTTACAAAACAGGGTGCCTGACTGTGGGGCCTCACCCGCACGCTAAAAAAGGACTTATCAATGCTCTACTGCAGGCACACGTGAAAGGTTAATAAAAGGTTTATTTATAAGGGAAGGGGAAATGAGGAAATGTACAGCTCAGGGAAAAAAGTGGGAGACAAAATTTTAAATGTGTCCTACCCTATCCACCAATCTGGAATCCCAAATGGCACTCTGAGAGCTGGCCGCGAGCCAGGAGCCGTGAAGCCAGGAGGCGAGCGACAGAGCGAGAGCCCCCAAGGCTCACTTGTCTGGTTTTTATACCAACCCTGACTGCTTAACTCCACCCTCAGGTCCCAGCCACCTTCCCTTTGGTGGTGACGGGATTTGTCTTTCCCAATGTCCTGATGGCTTTGGTCTGGAGTGGGGGTGGAGTCCACAAAGCCTGCATGGATTTAGCTCAGGACATCCTTTCCCCCTAACAGTATTTCTTCTGACAGTCTAGACTACTTCCAAAAGAATCACCTGGAAAGCTTGCTACAAAAACAGATTCCAGGCAAGGGCGGAGCAACATGGCGGCGAGGAGACGCTGCGAGTAAGATCTCCCATTAAAAAAAGTTAATAGGGAGGAAAAGCGGCAGGTGCCAGTGAGAACTGGGACACGGAAGATAAACGGGTGACTCCAGCAAACTGCCCGAAGAAGAAAGTTGCCATAAAAGAGGACCAGAAGGGAGAAAAGCGCAGAACCCTGCTCCCCTCCCCCGCCCACAAAGTCGGCACTCTCCGACCGGCAGAGAGGAGGAAAAAAAAAAAAACAAACTAAAATGACCAACAAGAACAAACTACGCGGCAAGCGGGACTGTGAGTAGAAAGGAACTATTTCAGCCACCACACCCCGTGAACGGGAGCTGTGGAGAATCCTGCAGGATTCGCCGCGGAGGTGAGCTCCAGGCGCCATTAAAGAGAGACCCCACCCCCGGGGAGGAGGCCAGGCCCAGCACACAGCCCCGGGCCACCCGGTAAGCTTGCGTGGAAAAGCGGTGCATGCTGGAAAAGCAAACGCGGATTGGGATCGGGATTGAGTGGAAAAGCAGTGCGGTTGAAAAGCAAACGCGGATCCGGATCGCAGCTGCCCAGGTCCCTGTGCCTGCGACCTAGGCTTGCGGGGAGACGTGCGGAGGCCCTCACTGAGTGAGCAGGAACCAGGCGCCCAGGCACGGGAGCGGGGTTCAAAAGGCGCCATTCCTGCGCCACTGAACTGGGCTACAACCCGCATCCTGGAACTGAGGGCTTTGGAACTGAGACCCGGGGCACGAAATTAGGGGCGTGGGTTCCCCACGACGGTGGGACACAAGGCAGACACAGCACCCCAAAGCCGTTGAGGTTTACCCTACCATTCCCGCTATGTTCCCTGTCCCACGTGGTGGAAAATCAGCTCCCCAAGGGCTCTAGGAGAGATCTCTGGCGCCACCTAGCGACTTGAAACCAGCAGAGGCTCCTGGAGGAGCCAGTGGCCAGCTGGGGAGTTAACCCACGCCGGGCCCCTTCCGACCAGTAGTCTGAGCCCACAGGGAGAGCGAGCACCCACAGCCGGGGCAGACCAGGCGCGCAGAAGAGTGTGCCTGAGACCGGACGCGCAGGGAGTGTGTCCCACATCACCATTTTAGAACAGGGACATTTCTTCAGTAAAGACTACCTGCAGAAGGCTTCCTCAGGAGCCAGAAGTGAGCGGGGGAAGTTCGCCCACACCAGACCCCCTCTGGCCTGCAGTCCAAGCCCAGAGGGGGAGCAGGAACCCACCGCCGGGGCAGACCAGGAGCACAGGGGAGTGTGTCCCCACATCGGCATTTTAGAACAGGGACCTTTCTCCAGTAAAGACTGCTTGAAACTGACATATGGCTCCTGGAGGAACCAGAGGGGAGCAGAGAAGCTCACCCAAGATGCCGGCCAGTCCCAACAACACAGTGTCCCAATGCATACGGCAAATTAGAAAACAGACAGTAGGGAGTAGAAGAACCACACGCAACCTAGCAACTCCCCAGGGAAAAAGCATACCACAAAAAGAAAACCAGCCCCCAGATTGCAACGACAGTAACTTGGAAGAACTTCTGAGCCTTCCAGAAAGAGAATTTAAAATTGCCGTGATTAAAAAACTGACAGAAGTCATAAAGGAAAACAATGATAAGGGAAAAATAATCAACGATCAGAAGAATGAAATTGAGTCCCTAAAGAGGGAAAACAATGGTCAGAAGAATGAAATTGAGTCCCTAAAGAGGGAAGTAAAAGAAATGCAGGAGATCAAAGAATTAATGGAAGAACTAAAGAATTCTGGGAAAAGCAATGAAAGCAGAATAGATGAAATGGAAGAACGAATAAGTACTCTTGAAGACACAGAAATAAAAAGAACCAAAACAGAAAAGGAAAGAGAAGTACGAAGGAAAAAGACCGAAGAAAGACTTCGGGAACTATCTGACTCCATGAGGAAAGGAAATATAAGAGTTATAGGAATACCAGAAGGAGAGGAGAGAGATGTAGGAACAGAGAAAATATTCAAAGAGATACTTGAAGAGAACTTCCCAAATGTGAAGAAGGAGCTGAAAATTGATATACAAGAAGCAAGAAGAACACCAAACTTCCACAACGAAAGGAAAAATACAGCAAGACACATGATAGTAAAGCTTCCAAGAATCCAGGACAAGGAAAAAATAATGAAGCTGGCAAGAGAGAAGAAAGAGATAACATTCAAAGGAAAGCCAATCAGGCTGACATCAGACTTCTCTGAAGAAACACTACGGGCAAGGAGAGAGTGGAGGGACATAGCCAACAGACTCCAAGAAAACAGATGCCAACCAAGAATACTCTATCCCGCAAAGCTCTCCTTCCTCTTTGAAGAAAGAATATGGACCTTCCCAGACAAACAGAAACTCCTGAATTTCATTACAACTAAACCCCCACTCCAAAAAATACTACAAGGAGTCCTAAAGCCAGAACCTCAGAGGGATGAATAACAATGAAAGAAGGCCAAAAAAAAAAAAGTTATTAAAAGAATAAATAAATAAAATCAAAGGAAAGACAAACACAATGGCAAATACAGATGCTAACATATCAATATTAACTCTAAATGTAAATGGACTAAACTCTTCAATAAAAAGACACAGAGTTGCAGCCTGGATTAAGAAACAAAACCCAACCTTTTGCTGTCTCCAGGAAACACATTTAGCTACAAAAGATAAAAATAGGCTCAAAGTTAAAGGATGGAAAACAATCCTACAAGCAAATGGACCAAAAAAGAAAGCAGGAACAGCTATACTTATATCAGATAAAACAGATATAAGATATATATATTTGAGTTTGAGATATCAAACTCAAAAAGATAAAAAGAGACCCTAATGGTCACTACATTATGATCAAGGGGACAATACTTCAAGAAGAAATAACACTCATCAACATATACTCACCAAACGAAGGAGCACCAAAATATATCAGACAACTGTTGTCCTCTCTGAAAACAGACATCAGAGAAAACACATACGTAGTGGGAGACTTCAACACACCACTATCAACAATGGATAGATCAACAAGACAAAAAATAAGTAAAGAAACCAAAGCTCTAAATAAGAACCTAGAGCAATTGGGCTTAACAGACATCTATAGAACACTAAACCCCAAAAAAACGGAGTACACATTTTTCTCAAGCGCACACAGATCATTCTCCAGGATCGATCACATACTGGGGCACAAGACAAACATCAACAGATACACCAAGATTGAAATCATATCAACTATCTTTTCTGACCATGAAGGCATCAAACTAGAAATAAACCATAAAAAGAA